CACACATCAGTAAGGTTGTCCCCACTATTCACTGTTACTTTTTCCTTTTTTTATCCCCATGTTAAAAACAGGGCAACCAGCACTCATGGTTTTTAAAGTCTAATTTTTTTTTTAATTCATCCAGGTGTTTGTGACAGTTGCACTTTGTATATCAGGACAAAGCTTGTCTCCAAGTCCATGTACAATAAACATATATCAAAATAATTCTCCAGTCCTCTAAAAATCCTTGCATTGAAGCCTCATAAACCAGCACTTCTAAAGAAGGACTGACACTGCAATTGCATAGGTGCATAACTTTTAAGCAGTACAGACAGTGTACTCCACCTTTCCCGGCAGAAAAAGGAAAGAAACAAAAATCAAAGGAGATCTTTTATTACCATGGTATCATTTCTTTGGCATCTATTATGAGACTGAATGTGATACAGTCTTGTTCCATTATACTGCTTCCTACAAATACTTCCTGCACCGTGACAGTTCACCTTAAGAAACCTCTTCATCCTCCCCCATTTTTTTTGGGGGGGGATAAAACTTTCCCAAATTTTCTTTCAGTCAAAATTTACATGTTTTCTCAGCGCAGAAGAGTACCAAGTCACTCAGGAGAGCAACAATCACTGGTTTTCCATTAACATTCCCATGATAAAGAGATACAGATCTCGCAGACACTATTGACTGTAAATCAGTAGACAGAAGGGACATGCAAACCCTCCTAAGCTCTGCTTTCCTGCTTCTAGTATGGGTTTCAAGTGCATCAACATCTTTATGGATGACAACATGTGCTAGTTACAAGGGTCTATGCACAGAACACAGTGCAGAGGAGAAGGGAGACAAGACAACAGAACAAATCTTTGCCTGCTGTTGTCTTTTGTATCATACCAGCAAAGCTTAACAACCTCTCATGGCAAAGGGGATCACCAGAGGCCATGGGAACACACACTGATGACCAGAGTAAAACCTGGTTTATGACACCTCATTCCTACAGCAAAATTAATTATTGGGAACTAACATATTAGTTGTGGTTGCACTAAGGAAACTACTGTTGTAGCATGCTGAGCAACACTTAGAAGTACTGAGCACCACTCATGAAATAAATGGAAATCAAAGCAGACACTCAGTCCTGAGTTAGTTTGTCAACTTCAGAGGCAGATCTCAAATGAATACAGAGGTTATATTAGTCTTTTCCTGGCCTTGCCAACACACTAGCAGAAGGGTATAATGCAGCACAAAATGCCACTACCTGTAGATCAACTATGTTGTGGCTACTGCTTATCTGACTCATAATGTGTGCTAAAAATCCTTTAAAAATATAATCAGCCTTTAAAATTTTCAGATTGCATGTGCAGGAAGGAAAATATATTTTCCAGAAGAAACCAAAAAGAAAAATCAATCTTACTGAGAGTTTTCTGAAAAAAGCTGGATAACTGTAGAAATCACAGTGAAAGAAATTACTTTTAGTTCTCCCACTCTCATCTAATGCAGCTCTCCTTCATCAATTCTAGGCCATTTTAATGCTGGCCTACTTCAGATGACAGGCTTAGACTGCAACTTATAAATTTTTGTTTATTCCCATTTCTTTTCAAGTGTTTCAAGCTAAATATCAGAAGGCAAGAAAAATAATGCATTGTCTTGACAATGCAAAGTATATAATGCATAATTATGAGATAATGCATTGTCTTGACAATGCAAAGTACATAATGCATAATTATGTACGACCTAAATACCAGGAAAAACCCCACCTTAGGAGATAAAATTTGAACCTATACAATTTCCATGCAGATTTTTTAATATTTTAAAAGTTATTCTCCTTTCTCTGATTTAGTATCAGATTAACAACTTCATTGGAAATGCACAACACTTATAAATAAAAAGAAAATTGCTTAACAGGTAAAAATTAATTTTTAACCATTACTAAAGCAACTAGCTTTGCAGCACAGAGCCCACAATGTTGAGAATACTTGGAGATTATTATTGGTAACAATAATGCCCTTTTTAAAATAAATTACTGAAATGTACAAACAACTATACACACAGAGGAAAGTTGTAAACCACCACCATTCATCTATGTCCTGGATCTGATAACTGAACTGAGTGATGTTTCCAGGGAGAGCTGAGAGGTGGACTGGGAGGCTGCTGCAGGTATTCCATACATGACAAGAGAAGGGCTTGGATGAGAAGGCTCCACCTTTCTCCCACAGGAATTCACACTACACAAATCATGGCTTCTATTTGAGATAACCACAACTGCCAGGGAAATCCCAGGGCCTTGGTTTTTGTTATAGGTAAAACTCAATTTGTCACCGGTAGTTACCATCAAAGTTACCTTACCATTTTCACTGTAAGAATGTATCTCAGTTATTAATAACTTTGTCAAATTTCAATAATCTAATCTGAAACAGTCTCTGCAAGAGGTCTGCAGTGAGCTGAATTTCTGTGCAAGGAGTTTTCCAGACAATTTTGAGAACCATGAAAAATATGCTAATTGTAACTGTTTTGTTGAGGAACTATAATACCAACAAACTTGAAAGCAAGAATCTTGAGTGTGCTTGGAAAAGAAAGGTGAAGAAATAATAGGGTGGGTTATCTGGAGACAGACTTTGAATTTGCTTTTTCTTACAAAATTCTGTCCACATTCCGTGAATTATTGGCCTTTGGTAAAAAAGCACAAAGGACTGGGAGCAGGCTGCAGTTGAGCCTTTAGCTTGTTAGAACAGTCACATCAATTATGTTGTGCATCTGCAATTTCCATTTGCAGGAATCTAAAGTGTAGAGTTCTGTTGCAAACAGTTTAGATCAACGTATGTCTTGTGTTTGCTTTGTGAAAGGGACATTAATAGAGAGTGGGTGTAAGGGGACTGGTTTTTATTTACAAAGAGGCAAAGGCATTTTATATTTCCACTACTTTTGCCATGAGAAACAAAACCTAAAGTTTGACTGAGCTCTGTTATATTAACAAAACTCTGCAAAGCAGGGCTCTTCAAAGGCAGAATCTTACAGCTATTGAGATTGTTCTGTTAGAAACTTTCTTGATAATATAAAATCTCTCCTGTTTTCAATTGGAAATATTCAATTCAGTATAGGACAAAACCCTCCAACTTTACAGTCAATGAAGCCTGTACCTATTTCTACCAGCTGTGAAATAAATGCAGCTTG